ACACAAATTGACAAAGAATACTGAAAAAGTAGGTTTACACACCCTCACAGCAGTGCTGAATCTCAGCTATTACTTTAGTGAACTGAATTTCACAACAAATGCACTAATTTACTGTAAAATGTATTTGCAGTGCAAGTTCACAGTTGCTCTTGTAATTTCAGTCACATTCGTAACCGTTGCTACTGTACTTTTACAGGGATAGCTGTAAAAAAGCACCATAATTTTACAACATATATATTTATGTAATTTTTACAGCACAAATGTAATTATTGATTTACAGTAGTCTTGTAAATTTACAGTCTTACTGGCAACCAAAATTGCCAGTAAGTTACTGTAAATTTTACATTAAATTTTTTACAGTGTATATCGGGCATCTGCACTACAATATATTAGCATTCACAGTGTGCAAATATATACATATGTGTGCGTGTGTATACACACACACATACAGTACAGTACACACACACACACACACAGTCACACCCACAAGGGTGGGGCCAAATGCCACTGACCAATAGCACCTATAGCGCCACTATTTGAACCAACTTCACCCAGAAGTCGACGCGAAGTATTGTTGCCATTTCCTAATGCACCTTCCTAAGCAATCTTTCTGTCTCCTGTCTCCCCGGTTTGTCCTGCCTGCTGTCTCCTACCTGCCCGTCTTGCCCGTCCTGCTCGTCCTGCTCCACCCCTTCCCATCGGATCCTAAGACCTAGCCATTGCAACAACAAGTAGACCAGCTTACCACCCTGGTCAGCCAGCTCCTCGATAGACAAGCTGATCGCTCCCAACTCCCTGAATCTCCTTCCTGGACATCTGCACCGGTACCGGTTGAAATGCCTGAGAAGTATGATGGCAACCCAGACCAATGCCGGGCTTTTCTCATGCAATGCGGTCTCTATATAGAGGAACATCCCGATCGCTTCACTGAGGAGACGGCCCGAATCCGATTTGTTATCTCTCTGCTGACAGGAAGAGCTTGTGATTGGGCCACCGTCCTGTGGTCGGACGACAGTCACCTCTTGGAGTCAGCGAGGGATTTCCAAGCCGCTTTTAAAGAGATTTTTGACCACCCCGCTGTGGGACGCAGCTTGGGCGAACGTCTGGTAGATCTTCGTCAGGGGAACCGGACGGTGGCAGACTTCCCCAGGTGTGGATCCAGAGGGGGGCGCACCCCCTATTTTCCATGAACAACAATTTTTTTACTCCTATTCCTCTGATGAGCTGTAGCCAAGTGAACAAAAATGCCTGCAAATGGCACCAGCAGCCTAACACTTACGTAACGCCAACATGTTCTTATCTTATCTCAGACATCCCAACCTGCAAAAACCCATTTCAGGGAGGTCCCCCCCGCCAAGAAGGGAAATGGCTTTATTTCACACAAGAGAATTTCTACATTGGCCATATGTATAATTTTTTGTTAATTAATTTTTTCTAGTCAGCCCACTAAATTTCGAAGGCTCCACTGAACCAATAACTTCGGTCCTCGAGAAGTTAAATAAAAGCCCGCCCGCACTGAAATCTGATTGACTTATTTTGCTAAGTAGACCAATCAGGATGCTGTCTGTCTAGCACGGGCTACATGAACAGGCACACACGCAGGGATCCATACATACGCACGCTCTCTCTCTCTCATTCCGTCGTGCGCGCGATTTTCTCAAGTGCGCGATGGACACGTTACTGTCTCGCGCGCATACTCTTGTGTGCTTGCTCTAGTTTCCGGGACATTTTATTCAATTTGCGGGCATCAGGGAGCCGCTATCAATATGCGGGAGACTCCCGGAACTTCCGGGAGACTTGGGATGTCTGTTATCTTTCCACGCAAGCCTGTGAATACAGCTTAGATATATACATGCTAGCTGCTCCTCCATGTGGTTTCATTAGTAGACTACAGAGAAACAGGTTCACATCTGAGTACAAGAGCGCGTGTGCAGTCCGATTTTGCTTTTATCCCGTGGTTTTTGACTGTCAGAATAAATATCATGGCAGAGAAACGATCTCAACCGACCTTAATGGACCTGTTTTCTCGGAAGAAAGCTAACTGTAATTAAAAAAAAATTACCATGGAGGTTAATTAGACTTTACCTCCATGTTTTAATCATGCATGC